AAACGAGAAAGAGAGAAAGACAAAAGAGAACTGGGCAGGGGGCAGGGGAATATTTTTATTGTATAATTATAAGTGTATAGGACGAATATATATGTATTTGCATGTGTATATACAATTTTCTCTCGCTTTATACAAACAGAAATGCAATTTATACAATTCTGTTGTATAAAGTGAGAGAAGCGAGCACAGAGGGAGTGAGCGAGAGAGGAGAGTGGCGAGCGAGAGTTTGAGGGAGAGAGGCGCTGGCAAACAGTTTGCTACAGGACACAATTAAATCAAAGTGTGATTATACCATTTAATTTGAATTAATAGTTTGCCATTATGTACAATTTTCCCATAATAATATTGTTATTGAGGTTGCGTTGTGAAAAAAGTTGTAAGGAAGGAAGAAAAAAAAGTGAAGCGGTAAAAACATATTTAAATTATCTTTTTTTTTTTTGAGTTTCATATCTAAATTGTTAAAAGTGTGAATTTCTTACCTAAATTATTACTCATTAGTTTGAAAAATACACCTCAATATAAATTTTTAAAATCATATCTATATGTTATTACTTGATCTTGTCAAGGCTTTAGAAAATCAAATCCTTGGAAATTTCTTTGAAATTCACATATCTTTAATTCTAGTTTTCTGATTTTTTTAGATTTGTTTATGCACTTCAATATTCTATTCTGAAATTGAAATCTTCCTAACTCTATTGTTATCGATGTGTAATACACTCTCTATTATTTTTTATTTTTTAAAATCTTGCCACGTGAATAAAAGATGGGAATAGTTTTTTTTTGGGGGGGAGGGGGAGGGGGAGGGAGTAAGATTTTTTAAAACAAACTTTTATAAAAGAAATTTAAAAAATGAAAAAAAAAATGGGGGTAGGGGTTGGGGTGGGGGGAGGGGGCACAGTGGGAGGAAGTGGTAGAGTGAGATAAGAAAAATATTTTAAATTTTATTTTTTTAAAAGTATAATTTCTATTTTGGAGGGATAATGATATTCTAATCTATAATTTTTAACTAATATTAATAATTTATTTTATTTTTGTCAAAATGGAATGTGTTGTTCATATGGAGTGTTATGTAACAAAAGAGAGAGATGTGTGTTTCTCTAACTAATGAGTGATAGTTTAGATAATGAGACTCACACTTCCAATAATTTAGGTATGAAACTAAAAAAATTAGCTTAGGTGTGTTGAATCCTTCACTTAAAAAAAGAGTTTGTGTTTCTAGTTAACATATTCACTATAAAAGAAAATATTGTTTTGTTCATTAAAGGTATTCATTGTGCGTGGAGTTTGGACTTGATAACTAGTTCAAAATTTGTTCGAGTAACACAACATTACCAATTTATTGTATTTAAGATACAATAAATTACATTTAGGATCTGTGTGATAAGATGTCAAATTACATTTTGAGACTCTTGAAAAATACCTATATAGATAAGATAGAAATAAACTATTAGAGCTTATGCTAAGACTTATATTATTTTCTTTTTGATTTTTGCGTTACTAAAGTTGATATACAACCTGCTTGTAAAGTTCCATTTATTGATTCATGCAAAGCTTAATTTTTTTTAGAAACTTGAATGAAATTCATATTGAAATTTTTTCTTCTTTATTACTTTTCAACTTCACCAATAGAAAATAGTATTACATAAATCGAAACAGAGAAATTTTTTTTTTCTTTTTTTTTCTTGTGCAGCAAAGAAATACCAAATAAGGAGCAAAAGCTAGCGCAATTGTCTATATTCTATGGGGGTAAAGTGGTGGTTTTTGATGATTTTCCAGCAGAGAAAGCCAGAGCAGTGATGTTATTAGCTAGCAAAGGAATATCTAACAACTCTTGTGCCATTTTTCAAACCACCACCACCACTCAGACTAATGGAGCCAACAACTTTGGTAAGTATTTTATTATTGAGGATTCATCACGAATTGACAAGTTTAATGTTGATTGTCAGTTTACTGCCATTTTTCTTTTTTTATCCCGATTTGAATGGGCAGAGCTAGGTAGACTCTTTGACGAAAAATCATACTCCCTCCATCTCATTTTATATGAGTTAGTTTGACTTGACACAAAGTTAAAAAAGAAAGAAAAACTTTTGAAATTTGTGGTCTAAAATGAATTATAGATGTTTGTGTGACTATAAATAGTTTTATTAAGGATAAAATGGGCATTCTAAAATTAAATTGTTAGTTAACATAGAAATATGTCGTTTTTTGAGGATGAACTATAAAGGAAAGTGAGTCATATAAATTGGAAAGAGGGAGTATTGTATATACAAAGTTAAAATCATTTTTTTTAGTATATAGTATTAGATGTTGAATCTCATTGATTTCTTCTGATGTTTACTTTTTCATATTTCGAACTTCTTTAATGAAAATTATGGCTTTGTTAGCTTCGGTCAATTTGGGACTAACATTGTAAAAAAGCTCATAAAGGAAGAGTTTAATTACTTAAATATCCTTTATTTGTATTAAAAAAATATTGTTAATTTAATGTTTTCTTAATGGATGTGATAAATCTTAAATGATACTTAAAATGGACAATAGAAAATACAATATATCACTCATAGACTACATGGTCACATAAATGGAACAAGCGTATAAGCAATGAGTGCAAAATTTTCAAAATATGTATACATGCATTCGTTTAAATACTAAATCCGTCTCTTTATTATTTGTGCTCTTCAGATTTACCTATTGCGAGGAGATCTTCACTTTATAGGTTTCTTGAGAAGAGGAAAGATAGGTAAGAAATATTAATTATGCATCACTAATACATATGCTCAAACTTCAAATATTTCCACATCTCACATTTTTCTCTTTTATTTATGGTGTCTTCTAGGGACACGGCTAGAGCGCCATACCAAATGCATAATCCATTGCAATCATCTTCAAGGACTCGTGAAGATCATTTTGATCTCAATTTCTAGTTATAATCAACTTTTCGATCGGAGAAATTGTTGAAAAAGTTAATTTTATTTGATGATATAAAAAAGGTATATATTATTAAAGAAAACTTGAACAATTCTCATTATTGCAGTTGTAATTCTCAATTTTGCATGATATTGTCACTCTACATCCAATATGGACAACATATAAGAATAGATCCACTATTTATTTTGATCGTGTCAAGGTTTATTGATTATGAAGTTGTAGGCAATTATGAAGTTTGATCTCATAAATCGTTTCACAAGACAGTTAATTTTATTGAAAGTGTTCTTTAGTGCTTGATTGTTGCTACTAACAAGTCGAATGAGCAATTTGTCTATGCTGACGAGGTCACAAACCAGTGATTGTCAAGTAAATGTATCTGGTTGAGCTCAATAACTCGACACATCCAAGAAACATGTGACCTTCTTTTGAAAAGATATATTCCAACAACATTATATGAAGGCAATGTTGCATATATAGCTCAACTAAGAGGAGGATACATAAAAAAGAAAAAAAAATATATTTCACCAAAATTCTTTTTACTCGTGATCTTCAAAATAAAGGTGAAATAGATTTTCAACAAAATCATTCTAGTGATAATTTAGCAGATATGTTCACCAAGACATTGCCAACTTCAATCTTTGAGATACAAGATCAAAATGCATAATTTTTGAGATATTAAATGATGTTTTCATTAGGAAAAGTAAATACATACTACACTCTATTTTCCTTAACCAATGTTTTATTCCTTTGGATTTTCCTGACAAGGTTTTTATTGAGGCATCAAACAAAGCGTATTACTACACTTTTTCTTTCATTAAAAATTTTCTTTACATGAATCCAAGGGGAGTGTTGTAAAATGAATGTCCACATAAACATATTTTGTGTTGTAACATAATCATATAATATGTTTTGTGTTGTACTAAACATGTACACACAAGATAGATATACACATAACATAGGCGTGTTGTAAACTAGTCATCCATACAATATACTTGGTGCACAAATATATACATGGCAAATATATATCCATATAATATACTTGGTGCCCAGGTATATACATGTATATATATATATCATATTCTTGTAACAAAGAGAGTATGCAAGAATAAGTGAAAAGAAACATACTTCACTTAATAGTTTCTCATCTATCTTTCTTCTTAATTTTAGTACAATATCTTTATTTTATAATATTTAAGAAAAAGTGACATGGATATTGATACTTTTGGGTAATCCTAGCCCATCTCCTCTTCTGGCGATGGTGATTTAGAACAGCCATGTCGGCCAACATCCCTCCAAAGCCTTTGGCTGTGCCCAAAACTCTACAAATAATGCTTCAAACGCCAACACAAATTCTACTTATGTTGATAGATTGAATTAAAAACAAAATTCTAATCTTTCTAGAACTAGTTTAACACCTATTGAAGTTGATCATGTAATTCATATGTTAAAATTTACGTTGGATGAATAACAAGCTTTCGCTAAGCAGGATGGACTTCATCAAGTCATCGTGGTTAAACTATCCACGGGATCACTTGATATGCCAATTTTAAGATCTATTTTGCCTAAATTCCTTGAGCATTAAGGAAGATTAATATTGTCTTGTCGAGTTGCTCGCTCAAAGACAACTTTTTATTCGTGTGGACTATGGATCAATATGATGATTTCTTTGTTGCATTATTATAACAATCCTCAGGACTGTTTTGTGGTTTTCACTTTTTTTTGAGAAAATGCATAAGTACCTCCAACCTATGTCCGAAATCTCAGAAACACACTTATACTATACTAAGGTCCTATTACCCTCCTGAACTTATTTTATAAATAATTTTCTACCCTTTTTCGGCCTATGTGGCACTATCAACCAGATATTTTGAAAAAATTGTCAACACGCATTGGGCCCAGAAGATAGTGCCATGTAGACCGAAAAGGGGTAGAAAATTATTTATAAAATAAGTTCGAGGGTAATAGGACCTTAGTATAGTATAAGTGTGTCTCTGAGATTTCGAGCATAG